AGCCGGCGAGAAGCGCAACCCCCCCCCTACCCCCCTGCCCCCCGCTCTGCCAGTGCCTCCGCGTATCCGGCGTAGTGGTTAATCTCGATACTGCGGAGTCGACGTTGGTGACGTTGTTTAGTTCCGTAACAAATACAATTAAGAAATAATAAAATTATATTGATCAAGTCTTTGAAAATGCTCCAATTAAACTTAAATAATAATTATAATGAGCATATGTCTTAATAAAAAACAGACAATAAATCAAAGTATATATATTATATTATTTAATTATGCTTTTATATTTTTGACAAATTTGATAGGTTTCCTTGATTAATTTGTATTAATCGACACATTAAATCGTATTAATTCGGTAGCCACGCGAAAAATACGACTCGTCTTATGTCCAAGTACGATTGTCGTCTATCAGGAAGACACTGATAATTCACGAACAAACAAGGAGCATGCATGTAGCGATTATCGCGCTTCACGCGGAAAGTGAGACGTCGATTCGCCATATATCGGTTCGACATATTGATCAGAAAGATATTTTTTACACATTTTTGCACTTTGCCGAAAAAAATAAGAAAAAAGATTTTTATATCTTTCGGTAAGACGAAAAAATATTTTTTAGTTAATTTTTCGCTTCACCGAAAGGCGACTTTAAACTTCCTGAAAATGTCGACTATAGATCGACTTTCAGTCTATAGTTAAAGTCGACAATAAACCATCTTATAAATAGTAGACTAAATGTCGACTTCAAAAGTTGACTTCAAGGTGACTAAAAAATGTCGACTATCAGCCGGCAAACAGTCATTTGTGCTATGTGGGTGTTGACATGGAGACTATGATTATATAAATGAGGTACAATAAATCCCCAAGAAGTGGTTTCTTTTCTGTCTAACCACCACTTTGTATCAGAAAAATTCATGACGAGACTGTATAAAAACCATCCAATTGCTATTCGTTTCGATTGCATGTGTATTTTTTCGTACATTTTTGGAGTTCCCAACTCTTCTAAAGTGTCGTCAACAGCAGTAAGTCTTTTCATACACATTTGAAATCTCTAAAATAATATTAGGTAAATATTTAAAAGTCATCGTTATACTATTATACTTCTATGATATGAAATATATCCACGCAGGATTCAACATTAATCTAAGACTAATTATTAGATAATAATCGTAAGATAATGTTCAAAATCATAAATTTACGTCATTATTATGATTCAACATTATAACTTTTTATTTTAATATAATTAGTATTAATATGAATATTTTAACCTGAATATATATTCTTTATATAAATATTAAACACAAAATACCTTGTTGTAATATACACTAAAAATCACAGATGTAATTGTAGTAATCATGTTAATCTCCAAAACGATGATAGAAATGGTGGCATGAAATAAGGCTCTAACTGACAAAGAGCTCACCATATAGTAAGAAAGATAACCATAAACAAACCATACTATTAAAGAATATAAAACACTTAAATATGTAATCCACTCATCTTTCGGTTTTTGTTCTTTTAAGGGATATACACCTAAACCGATAATAAAGCACGTAATAAAAAGTGGTCGGACAGCGTATTGAATCGCAATCCGCATAGTTACTATTGCAAAGTAACACTGACTGTCCATTTATTTCTCGAATGCATCGCAATTACATTGATTGGTAATGATAATGTTCCTTCCTGGTGGTATATATTCATTGGTACACTTAGGGATATTAGAATGATCGATCCACTCTCATGAATGAGTCGTATGATTCATATGTTAAAAATCGTTAAAATGATATGATGTTTAATAATGTATTTTTTACGTTTTTCTGTATAAGACAAATATATTCAACATTTTTATTATCAATTAATTAAATTTTTAACTAGTATAATCTACATTGAATTAATACAGATCTCGATAATCCATAGCACTGTGATACATTTTGAAACAACTCTCTACTAATTGTAAGACGAAAAACAAGAATGTACTGTATTTTATAAAGGTTAAAGAAGATTTTATTTAAATGATATACATAATGTATAAATATGTATGATATATGTATATATAATATTTATGTTTAATATATATAATTAATCAAAAGTATTACTATTATTAATGCAATTATAATTATTTACAGCAATTATTTCCATTAATTTTTGTATTAAATAAACCTACAAACGTTAAATAAGAAATCGAGAGATAATGTAAAGACTAATATGTAGGGGAAC